AAACAGCCCCTTGAGGTAGGAAAGACTTTAACGCAACAGAACTTAATGAGCATCGTGTCTGAGTGAGGATCCGAGTGAGATACCACCACTCACAGCACCTGTACAATAAGCCTTCCCACTTGTCACTACTTGGAGATGCCTGAAGTTATAGCAGATAGACAGCTTTGCTATGCCCCTGCCTAGCTGACTGTACTTTATCATGACTTGCTAACAAAGGACAGAAAAAAATAAAAAAGTGAGCTGTTACTTGTATAACAGTATTTTTGGAATACATGTCAATATTCAACTAGTCAGTTGACATATATGGAACCAATGGGAGGCTACTAAGTTTACTAAACATAATGTTAGGAAGCATTTTACAGGAAAACCTTGGTTTGTGAGCATAATTTGTTCTGGAAACATGCTTGTAATCCAAAGCACTTGTATATCAAAACGAATTTCCCCATAAGAAACAATGGAAACTCAGATGATTCGTTCCACAACCCAAAAATATTCATATAAAAATGATTACAGTATTGTAATATAATACAAAATAATAAAGAAAATACAAAATATAAAGAAAAATAAAACAAATTAACCTGCACTTATCTTTGAAAACCTTCATGGCTGGTGTGAGGGAGACAAGAGAGAGGGAGGTTATTGTGTAGGATGACTTTCACTATCACTAACAGAATCACTGCTATCTATTGGCTCAATGGAATCTTTTTCTTTTTGTGCAGCTTTAACAAGGAACCTATGCAATGACACTCGCTTTTGCCTCCTTTTGAGGATTTTGCGGAAATGTGACACTGCATTGTCGTTAAACAGATTCATCGCTTGCACTGCTACAGCCTTATTTGAGTGGTGCTTTTCTACAAAATTTTGAACTGTTTCCCACATTTTACACATCTCCCTAATCTCATTTGAAGTGAGGGATTCCTCCACCTTGTTCTCCTTCTCCTCTGTAGACGAGATCTCCTTCATAACCTCTTGCATCTGCTTTACCTTTCAGTATCTCCCTCTGGGGAGCGGGGGGTAGATACCGAAAGGTAAAGCAGATGCAAGATTCTAACCTTGTAGTGCAGCACACCATGTACTCCTCCCACACAAGCCTTGAAGTCCACAGTTAAGACTTGACATGATTTTTAAACAGATCTTCACAACAAAGCACTAAATATACACCAGATCATTGGAACAGTTAAATAGAACCTTATTTAAGTTAGTCAATGACAGTGTACAGCACTAAACAACCCAAGACTCTAATAAAACAACCCCTTTGTCTTCAGAATGAGCATATGCCTTGTGGTAACTAATAAGGAAATGCTGGTAGCTTAAAGCTGCTTCCAGTGCAATCCTATGCATGTTTAGATAGAAAAATTTCCCAGCATACCCTCCCTTCTTGGAGGGATGCTGGGAATTGTAGGACCGCAGTGAGAGAGAGAGAAGAACCATTGGCTCAGTTGTGATCATGTGACATTTGGCAGAGAGAGAGAGAGAGAGAGAGAGAGAGAGAGAGAGAGAGAGAGAGAGACACACAGAACGAACGAACCATTGGCTCAGTTGTGATCATGTGACATTCAACATCACGTTCTACTCGTTTTGCAAGACATCGCTCATTTAACAAGTTAAAATTTATTAGACATGTTTGCTCATCTTGCAGAACACTCGCATAACAAGTTACTCGCAATCCAAGGTTTTACTGTACTTAAAACTCTATGAATGTTTCTGCCTTCAGTGACTCCTTTCATGTTGTAATGTGCTGACGAAATAGGTTTAACAAAAATATTAGGAAAGTTTCATATCAATAAGAAGGAAGATGCCAGATGTGCTGGAAAAGCCAGATGATTAAAAACTAAACTAGTATCAGGGTCACAGACTGAATTAAATAAGGGATAGATTAATGTTTGCAATAAGGCAACTGTACCAGATGGTATACATGGTAATTTTAGTACTTGCACTAAAATACTCTGGTGGCATGTTGATGTAAACTTTATTTAGACTTTTTAGCTTCCCTTTACCAGATGGCCAGTGACAGATAAAATTAAAAGCTATAACATAGTTTTGAAAATGTGGAATAAGAAATATTCAAAAATTCTGCACAAATCATTGTCTTTGCAACTATGGCATCTGAAGATCTGCAGATTTTAAAAGTTATCTTCCTGAAAGTGCCCTCTAGGCTTTCTGGAGTAGGAGTGGCTCCATATTCAGGGAAAGGCCATAAAAAATGCCTGCTAACCCTAGTCCCTCCTTTAGTACATTGGGTTCCATCAAGAGACCATCCCTGTGCTAATCATAATGGGCTTAGTAAGAAGGGATACAGGATTTCTGGAAAAGTTTGAATTGAAAAAAATCTGGTACCCTAAATTGATTAGAATCTGACTGATATTTATTAGAAAATGTAAGAAGTATGATATCCTAAATTTATGTGCTATATAAATTTCTCAAAAGATTTTTCAAATAGTCAAAAGTATTTGAACTGAAAAAATTGATCAGGAAAAATTAATAAAATGCACGTAACAGCTTAGCCCTCTTCACATGCTCAAATGAGAAAAAGCCAAGCAAGTTTTGGAGGGAAGTTGTTCCCCTCTGCCCTGGCCTTTACAACTGTTGCTCCCACTCTTTTCTGCACAATTTTTTTTCCAGTGAAGTGGGAGAAGCATGAGGAACATTTTCTTCCTATGAAGTTCTGTTCAGGCCTCTTGAGTAGTTGAGCCTTTAATTGTTTTTTGTATATAACGTCCTTGCTGGTATTTTCAGCCATTATATAATTAGATTTAGGGTTTCCAAATACTGACATATGTGCATTATGGATTAAATTATGTTCTCTGTGAAGACTTGAGATATTTTGTAAACTCAAATCTTAATAACAATATGTCTGAATAATACGCAATAAGAAGCATTCAAAATTTAGCACTTCCTGTCCTTATCAAATGGAAAGATGGATTTAGTTCTGTGTTGCAACATAGTTTTAAAAGCTTCTATGAGCCTGAGAAACAAGATAGATGTTCATAACTGACTAACAATGTAATTTATATTTTAAGTGGGGGAATAAATTGTGTATATAACCATGATTTAATAACTTTGAAATTAAGGTTCATGAAATGAATCAAAGTTCTGTTACTACACCTTTTTAGAGAACTACAAATTTTATTTTGTGTTAGTGTAAAATAGCATTAATAATGTTAAAGGGGTATTTTCTAGCTTTGTTGCAATTGTCAAGGGTCGTTTTATTTGGTATTTAGGAGGATTTCCTGTAGTTCATCTGGTGCAGTTGTAAAAGAAGCAAACATTTGGGAAGGGTATTTACGATTACACAACAGACATTTTTGGTCTTCGGTTGCTGTGGTAGAAGAATTGAGAAGACTATAACAAGGACATTTTTGTGGAATAGACTTGTGAATTTGCTGATGCATCTGTACTAGCAAATGTGTCTTGATTTTTCCATTGATATAGTCATTGACTCATTTAGTTCTAACCATGTATAATGGATGAAAAATCTTAGGCCAAATCTGCTCCCCCATGGGGTTTCCTACATGGCTTCTTTTCTTTATCTCCTGCTCCCCATTCTAAAAAGTTGAAATACCTCTCCTAAGACTTAGTTAATTGCAGTCTAAGCTTTAAGCTAAAATATGAAGGTCTTTTTATCCCCACATATCTTTTGGACTCACTGCACTGGAGTGCAGCTTCCAAAAACTTAACTAGAGAGTAAGCAGGCTCCTATCAACAGGTGGAGTTGTAAAGGTTTGTGGAGAAAATTGAACCATTCAGGAAAATACACACTTTTTCCAAATTTAAAAAAAGAACTGGACAAATTGTTAGTTTTTTTTAGTGGCGGGGGGGGGAATACCATTTTTTTCCTGATCCCCCCCCCCCCCAGTCTTCACATTTCTACTAGGACAGCACACTTGGTGCAGTCATGTTGCCCAGGGTAGGGGTGTTTATTCTTCCTGTTCAAAGCATAGTTTTTCTTATCTGTGTTTGTCCTGTTGTCAAGCTTAAGGTTTTTAGGTGCAGCAGTGCAAACTATTATATTTTGTGTTTGTTATTAATTATTGAGTGACAAATGGTAAGCAATTGAGATTTAAAGTTGATGGGCAAAGAAGCTATGACTACCCTGTGGTAGTTTAACATTAATGGTTATGGTTAATTCCATTAACCCTTACGGTTAATTCTGTTAGCAAAAACAATGATCTATGGACCATGGCATCATCTGTTTTCATGTCTGAGCCCTCATCTTTGAAACAAAAATACAAAGAGGTACAAAATAGAAATGTCTTCTTGTTTTAAAATAAAATGTAGAGACATAGAGGGTGGTCATATGACATGACGGCCAACCATGAATTATTTAACCCACAGGGAGGCTGAAGTATGTGTAGGATGCATGTGGTCACCATATTGACAGTACATCCCCTGCTTGGGAGTTGTAACTTCTAAACCCAGTGAGTGTGGGTTATGCAAGGATAAACAACTCTTATATAACTCCTAGTCTGTTCTAGGGTTATGTGAGGGTTTTTCCACACTTACTGGATTCTCATGACAATAACAGCCAGATTGGAGGTTGCAGATGCAATTTGACTCCCAAGAGTACTGCAGCTTATTGTGGGTTAAATAATGGCACTCTATAGCACCTCTTCCAAGATCATAATTTATTACCAAACACTGCTGAGTATTTGTGCTCATAAAGTTCAAGCCTGAGTTTCTTACCAGAATGGAAGTACTTTTGTATTTGCATGAGTTGCCCCAGCCCAGATCTGCTGGTTTTTCTCTCCTGATTCTCTCCAACAATGCCTTGTCTCAGACTCTTCTGTCCCTTATCTTGAAAAACAGGGGAGCGGGGCAGGTGGTTCAGAGGGATGCAGTGGGAACTTATTTATTACACTAGCAGAACTCTCCTCTCACTTCTCTGGGTGCAACCTAAAGATAATAATTTTTCATGTTAATAGATAATCTGTTGCAATAAATTAGTAATGGTATACTGTTTAAAATACTGTATTTTTTAAAAAAAATGTTCAATTTTACAGATGCCTTTGTAAATAGCCAGGAATGGACACTAAGTCGATCTGTTCCAGAACTCAAAGTGGTAAGTAACCTTTCAAACTCTGTACTTACTTCATCTTTAATCATCATGGTTCAATACATGTTGATACTTCCAATGAATGAAGTATTTTCAGGGAGTAAAATATCAGTAAACACCAATACATATGCAGCCTGTTTGTAAGAGAACTTGCTCTGTGTTTAAGAGAATAGTCAAGCTACGTGTATGTATCCCAAATGTTCTGGTGGGATGAGCTATAAATCAAAGATTTCCTTTACGTCAGGGATTAGACTGGAAAGATAAACGGCTACAGATAGTCTAAGCACTGTAACATGTCCTCATTTCCTATCTGTTATTTTGTTCATCTTCAGTCTGCTGTTGTAGATTGCAATCCCAAAGAAGAAGGCCTTAATGATGCCTCTGGTTCCCTAGCTTTTGAAGATAGCAAGAGTACTTAACTTACAGGATCAAATTTAATTTTTTTAAAAAGGATTTTGGATGCATTTTCTATGACTGTTCCTTTTTTGTTAAAATCGGGGCCACTAAGTGTACCACAGCCCTAGATTAGAGCTGAACTCTCACTCTGAGTTTTTATATTCTATGGAAGATTTCCAAGCTTTCAAATAAAAATTTGGCTCTGTTTGAAGATATGTTATTTTGATTTAATTATCTCCCTAGTTTTAAATCACATCTTTAATGCCACTTTCTGGAGAGCTGCTATTTTATCTGTTCCTTTTCCAAATGAGGGCTTTATTTTTCCAAGCTTATCTGGATACCTACCCGGTACCTAAAAACACAATCCTGGCATTTCAGCTCCTGAACCCAAGGCACAAGGTATTATATTTTACAAGCAAAGGGTTGCATGGGACATGAAAGATGAGAAGCTTCCTGCCCCAGAGCTTACAATTTCTGTTAAGTGATGAGGGCACTTAAGGATTGGTCACAAGTAGTAAGGTTTTGATGTAGTTGAGCCAAGTGGTGGTGGACTGGGGAAAGAAAGATGAAGCTAGAATTAATTTGAAAATGCTTTTGCTAAAAAGGGGTGTGGCAGGTGTAAACTGAGGGCAGAATCTGTGCTAGGCAAAGGGAATAGGAGGCAGTAAAAGCAAAAGAGGGTATAAAAGGGAATGGCTTAAGGCAAAACGGATGCAAGTGTGACATGGTGAGCATGTTGGACTAGAACTATTAGGCCATGAGACTCAATGAGCAACTTTGCACCGATCAGACTCTCAGCCTAACCTACCTGCATAATGTTGTTGTTGGAATCAAAGGGAGAGGAGGATTATGTAAACTCCTTAGGGTTCCTTGCAGTAAGAAAAAAAATGGGATATAAATATACGTTTTATAATAAATAATATAAGTAAGCAGAAGAAAGGGGGTGCATTACTGCAAATTTTTCCTTTCATTCTTTTGTTCTTTTTGGAAAAATACTTGGTTTGCTTCGTATGTAAATGAGTTGCCTTCACTATTTTCCTGTCAGTCATAAAAGAAATGTGGATTCTAGATTAATATTGTGGCCTGGAATAAGATTTCTGTCCAAAATCACAATTCACTGTGTTCTCTCCATTTTCATGCTGTTACTTCCCATATACAGTGGCCTTTGGTATAATTTCCCATTAGGCGCCTGCCAGGCCCTGTTATTGCAGGCCTTTAATGTTGCAGCCATTTGCTCCCAGTCACTTGGTCCTCTCCTCCTCCTCTGCCAGTGCCCACCATGCCCACTGTCTGCTGGAGTCTCTTGATCCAATGGAGTTTTTCCACTGGCTCAGTGAGGGACAGTCTCCCAGAAAGCTGAGGGTTGTGTATAAACTGAAGCTGTAGGGGAAATGATGGAAAATTGCTCCTTTCCACACATGAGAATAATCTAAAGGGAGCTCCAGTTGGGGACACAGTTTGCAACTGGAAATAAAAGTCTGGATATGACCCAATATATATGTAAAAGCTTAACAAACTGGGAGGGTGTTTGAAAAATAAGCTATGGACCACTCCAGGCTGTACATTAACATGACTGGGACACTGTTACTTTCAAGACTGCCTAGGACAGAGCTTAGTTTGCACTGAACACTGTTGGTTCCTTATTCATGTGTTGGCATCATGTTGCATGTTTGACGATGACTTCTGCATGCCCAAAGCTTTGGTCTGGACACCGTGCCAGGGCTGTCTCTAAGACACTGACTTTGTGTATTTTACTTGGGATGGCCCAAGGCTTATTCTGGTCTCAAGGCATATTAATTTCATTCTCATATTCAAGCTGCACATACAGCTCTGTATTGTATGAGGAACTGGGAACCAGTTTCTCCCTCATCCTGCTACTAAGATGTTCTGATTGTACATGTTGCCATAATGGTGCCATACATTTGAGTCAGATCATATGCTTCTTGGTGAATTCCCTTTTCCTTTGTTTGCTTCTTTAATATTGATAATACTGTTCAGCATAGAGGTGGCTTTTTTACTTTGTTTTACTCCTGATTCTGCTGCTATTTGTAAGAAATACACTATGCATTTCTGCACTTCTTCACATTAGCATACCTTTCTAATTGATATTTCTACTTCGGTATAATTTATTAAAAATCTAATTATCCTATGATTATTCTCCTTTTCTGTGTTTATGCACAGATATTGAATATAACTACAGTGGCTCCTTGTATGTTGAACTTAATTTGTTTTAGGAGGCTGTTTGAACTCTGAATCATTTGAAGTCAGAATCAATTTTCCTCATTAGAAATAATGGAAAGTGAGTTAATCCCTTGCTAGACCCTAAACAATACCCATTTTGCTAAACTTAAACAGCAGATACGGCCTCCTGAAATGAATTAAGTTCAAAGCATGAGGCACCACTGTATTTGAATTTATGTTAGCAATGTTATGTTAGTGCATTTACTGTACCTTAGTGGGGAGTTGGTTATATATAAAACCAAAAAATGAAGTAAAAAAGCACTGAAAATGCACGAAAACACATGCATTGAAAACGCACAAGTGTTAAGCAAGGGATGTTTCACAGCAAGTGAGTTGGGTGCACAACTGATGATGTTTATGCTGCAACCACTTTTTTTTTTAACTTTGCATGCAGTTTGAACGTAGATGCATCTTTCAAGCTTTGGAGCAATTTTATTGTGACTTGACTGTTAGAGTTGTTCAAAGTACAAGGCACCAGTGTATATTATTACTGTTTTAGGGGCTCAGTTGCAGGTTTCTTCTGTTAATTTTAGGACTAATTGTAGGTTGTGCTCCAGAAATAGCTGTTTGAAGATGCAGTTCTTAGAATGCACCCTGAAGCTATTCTATATAAAAATAGAAAATGCTAATTATAACTATCATTGCAGCATCTGTAAGTGTGATTAATTATAGACTAAAACCTATTAATGGAAAGGAAACTATAATCACTATGTATGTATATCTTCTTGCACAATTATGCTTTTGCTGTAGTATTGCACAACTTTAGGATATTAAGTTGTTAGATCAAGAAGATTCTCAGCTTTAGTAACCCATGTATCTCTGTCCAATGCACTACATATCAATGTTTGTGTGTAACATCCATCCTAGCAATGACTACAACTTGCCCTAAGCTATTTACAGGTATCAAATAGTTAAAGGCATCCAGCACCTTGTATGTGTATGGAGCTGTGATGGGGAACAGTTGTCAGAGAAACAGAACATTAAAATCAGGTGGAAATGGAATTCAACAGCACAAAATAGGTAGATGCCGATTTGGTTCTAAGCACCAAACCCTTAATTTCCGCCCCTTAATGTGGAATGTTAATTTCTTCAGTGGAGAGTATAAACACACTTCAAATTCTTAACAGTTAATATGCTATTAAATTCTTAGCAATTTCATACTGTTAGTCTATATTCTGAGTGACAATAACAAATACAAAGTATGAGTTTAACAGTCCTTTAGGGCATCACTGGATACTTTTCCTTTTCCTTGATGGAACTAGCATTCTGAAATGTTAAAAGTTTTAAAGACCTTTACTGATAACCAGCTTGTTTCTAGCCATGATACAAAGTGCTCTTGTTCATCCATAAAGCACTAAGCTTTCTGGGAGCAGAATATCTGAAGGAGGACTGTTTTCATATGCAGTGACTTAATTGTTAATATCTTTATTGGAGTGCTGAGTCTTGATTCCTCCTACTTTGTAGGTGAAATGGTGGCCACTGCCATAGACCTTTTTTCTGTCGTGGTACCCCATATGTGGAACTTCATTCTTGTATGGATTGGCACTTGCCCGTTGCTGTAACTTAATTGCTGATATCCCAGGGCCTTGGCACACTTCACCTCCATTCTGCAAATTTAGTCATTTACAAACTTCATATTGATGGCATACCTCAAAACTTGCCATTGTTTTAAATCCATTGCAACAAGAAAACTGTTTCCTTCAAAACTATGATGATAAATACAGTCTTGTTTTTCTGGACATTTGAAAATCTTCAGTGAGATTTAATATATGCTAGCAGTGTTTTAAGCGTTTAATGAGCATCTCTCCTACTGCTGTGCAACCAGTGCTTTCAGATCAGCTAGGGAAGCCCTGGTGGGCCATGCCCATGGTATGATGATTTGAAATAGCTGGGGCCTTTTCAGTTGTTACTGGGGAAGTATAGTTGGCCCCAGCGTAGTGTTACTTTTTAGACGAAAGCTGAAATGTATTTGTTCGTGCCGACTTTGAGATGCATCATGATCTTGGGACCTTATTGCTTTAAGATGGTATGTGCTGTGCATGTGTTTTTCTGTCTTACATATGATGGTTTAATTATACACTTTCATTATGTTGTGTCCCCTTGGGAGAAGGAATGGTATACAAATGAAACAACTAGACTTGTTTTAAACATTTCAGAACTTTTATTATTTGTCATATTTTAGTCTGTTGTAAGTTACCTTGAAAACTGTTGTTGCAAGATGAGAACTAACTGTTTTGAACAAGTGGCACTGAAGAAGCTGTTCTTCTAAGCTGTTCTTGCTGACTTAAACTCTTAGAAATGTAGACTAATATCTCATCTAATTCAATGACCAGAAGGAATTAAAAGAGTCCTCAAAAGTTCCTATAAGAGTCTGGAGAATTTGAGCCTGGAAACTAGTTGAACTTTTAGGAAGAGGATTTTGTAAAACCTCTCACAATATAATTCATAAGTTTGGGAAAGTCTGAGAAGTAGAGAATCTGTGGATAAATTGTTCTGGGGTAGTTTTCTGGGCTTTGGAAAATTGTTGAAGAAGCCAAGACCTTTTCTGTGAAATTTCAAAAAAGATTTGGAAAGTCCCAGCCCATTGTCAGTTGAGAGGAATTTTCCAATCATTACTTACGGTGGTTGCTCAGCTTAGCATTATCGGTACCCCTTCCCGATTGTAATTGTATGTATTTTCTTTTTCATTTGCATAGTTCAGTTTATGTATTCATTAATTCAATATTAATTTAAGATTAGAAGCAATATCCATGTCCTGGAATGATTTTATTTATTTCCATTTGCAAGTTCACTCAGATTTTACACTTTTTTGTAAGATTTTAAAACTTAAATAAACATTAATATTCATTTTTTATCTCCACAGGGAATTGTGGGAAATTTAGCTAGTGGTAAATCTGCTCTTGTACATCGATATCTGACTGGGACGTATGTCCAGGAGGAGTCACCAGAAGGTACAGTGACTGATAGGTCATTGGAAGCATGCTGTTTTTGAACATTTACATGGCTTTTTAGCAGTAATCCATTGTGCAATGTTAGCACACACAATTAATTACCAAGGACATAATGTTAGAAGTGGGAAGAGATACCCTTACTTGCACATGCTTTTGAAGGGAGCCTACTGGTGCATCTTTTCACAATGTTTATTTATCTGTTTATTTATAAGGTCTAAAAGCCAGCCGAATGCAATGGCTTCTCCTTCCCCCGTTTCCCAAAGCCACTCTGGTTTTACTTGTAAATTCTTCACCCATGCTGGCACCCTTCTTAATATGATTGCAGAATTTGCCTGTCGGTTACTCATGCACATAATATCAGTGCTAGTTATAATTACACTGTTGCAAGCCATAAGCACTATAGAGTTCATGTTTTTGTTCCTTGATATCTCATGTCATTCTGACAATTTTTGGGATATAACTTGCATGTACCTTGTTCTCTTTGTTATTATGCTTGCTTGTAAGGTTATAACAATAATATTGTAAAACACTGATGTGTAACTGAAGACCTTTGCCAGATTTTTCATTAAATTCAGATGAATGGATAGGGTATATATTTGAGTAGTAGCATCTAATTAAGGTAACATTCACTGAAATTGATATCCTGATTATTTTTATTTGTTCTCCTTTTGAATTTTAAAATCCAACTGAGACACTGAATTTCTGGTTCCTTCTTTTCCTTACTGGCTGTTCCATTCTTTGCAGATATGGATGCAGGTAACTATATGTCCTCTTCATAGCAGCACTTGTTTTGAAGAGAAGAAGCAAAGCTTTTGTACTAGTTTCCCCCTTGTTTTGTGTACCATTTTTGTTTCCCTTTTAATTTTGAGTTAAGAACACATCTCACTGTTGTCATATGCTGTAGATGTCACTTAGCAAGTCTTGTGTAGATTCATGTGTCTGTAACAGCATCTGTTTAAAATTAACACTTTCTTAGGTGCTCTTTAATTCTGTGTGCTAACAATAGTTATTAAGGGTATTTACATGTAGCATTTGGTTTTGAACTAAGGCTAAATCTGCTAGAACAAGAGAGCTTTGACAAGTTAGCAAATTTTGAAAAGGATTTAATGTTAATAATTGTGTAAAAGAGGAATGTAGTTGAGTCCTTATTCAAGGTCTTTGTTCAACTTGAACACCGTCTTTCAGTGGAGTTTTATGGAAGTGAGAGAAGCAAGTACTGTGGATTTAGTGAATGACCAACCCATAGTGGTTTAAGCATTACATGTAGACTTGCCCAAAGAAGTACCTGAAGTTTGCTGGTTGCAGATCTGTTACTGCTGGTAATTGTGACAAAACTTTTATTGAAAGACAGACAGACAGACAGACAGACACTGTAAAATCCTCTACTACTTTCTGTTCTTCCTCTTTCCCAACCATTTTTATTTTAAGCTGCCCAAAGAGCCTTGTTGGCTATAGGTGTGGCATATAAATGTAATAAATAGACAAATTTCGTACTCCCCCCCCCCCAAAAATATATTATTTACTTTGGAAGTCTCCATTTCTCCACTTCCACTCCCCAAATCCTTGGGAAAGTATCTGGTGAACACTCAAAGCTAGCACTAATTTCTCCAATACCTTTCAAAAAACCAGTAACCTTTCCCAGAAAGGCTTATCAACGGGCATTTAAAAACAGAGCACACTATTTAAAGTACATATCAAACAAATAAGCAACCCCCCTCCAAAAAAAGACCTGAAACAAAGCAGTGTCAAATCATCAACAGATGACACATTCTATGGCTTCAAAATAGAACATTTCAGAAATGGGAAACCACTGCGGACAAGGTCCACTTCCTGGTAGCCATCTACTGTACCTGAGGTGAATTGATGACCTAGAGAAAGGTTTACACTGAAGATCTAAATGTATGGAGAGGCTGTACTTCAGGTATCCTGATCCTAAGCTGTCAGACTCTTGAAAAGTCAAATTCAGAACTTTGACTTAGACCTAGAAACTGACCGGAAGTCAGCCTTGCTGATGGAACCTGCCTTAATATGGTTATAATTACAGGCACAGCTAGCAGCTGTATTTTGAAGTAACTGAAATTTCCGTACTGCCTTTAGAAGCGACCTGTGTGTAGTGGATTACAGCAGTTACTGCAATTCCACAGTTGCAGCTGACCTATCGGCCAAGGCTGGTGAAATACTCTGTCTCTTCAAAGGCTTGGGAGCCACATGCATCTCTTTGAGTTTATTTTGCAGCTTGTGGTTTGCTGCTTGATGTGGAAAGTATTAGGTGCATATCAGCACAAAGAAGTTTTTTGGGGCCACCCCTAAGAGCACCCTGTTTCTTGAGCATTATAACCTAATGCAACTTAATGAAAGGCACTTATTAATTGTATGTGTAATTCTATATGTGTAGACATTTACATATTTTATGCATAATGAATTGGACTCTTTCATTAATTAAGAAAAACCTAAAATAGCCAAATCATGTTCTTGGATAGGAAGCATGACCAAAGTTGCATATTCTTCTTGCCAGTGACTCCACAAGGGTATGCCCTTATTTCAAAATACCCTCTCCTGTGCAGAATTTTTGGACAGAAAATTGCCTTAGTGTAAGCAGAATGTACTGTGAAGGTAATGTTAGGATCAGATTTACTTATCTGTATTCTCTTACAAATAAATTATTTTACCTATTTATATTTTATTTGGTATGTAGTGGCAGGAATGATTGGGAGAAAATGTGTGTTCTCTTTTGGACTTCTCTTACTAGTGTAGGCTCTGAAAGTAAAAGGACTTTCAGAGTGGGTTTTTGGTTTTCTGGTTCTCCTGCTCTGCTATAATGAAAGCCTCAAAGAAGTGCAGGAGAATTAACTTAGTTGCACATACAATGTGTCTTCTATCTGTCAGGCTAGGCCTCTAACTGAAACGGATCTAGAAACACAGTTCACTCTCCTGTGGGACCATTTGCTACCTCAGAAAACCCATTATAGCAGCTTTTATGCTGTTGGTGTTGTACCAGAGGTTGTTTATGCTAGCATTATACAGTAGTACCTTGGCTCACAAACTTAATCCATTCCACGACTCTGGTCATGACCCAAATTGGTCATGAGCCAAGTCAAATTCCCCCATAAGGTTCAATGTAAAAAGGTTAATCCATTCTGTAAATATTTTTTTTAGTCACAGGGAAGACTGGCGCAATCATGGGCGTGCTCGGGGGAGGAGACAGGCGCGATTGTGGATGCACTCGGGGGGAGATGGGAGCGATCACGCCCATCTCCCCCCCCCCCCGAGCATAATTGCGATCGCACCCGTCTTCCCTGCAGGAGCGCGATCGTAGCCATCTCCCCCCCTCCCCTGCACGACTGCGATCGCACCGGTGCAGGGAAGACGGGCATGACCGTGATCATCACCCGATGCGGAGTTCGCAACCTGAGGAAAAGTTTTTCCTAAATTTCTGTTCATGACCCGATTTGGTTATGAACTGAGCCGAGGTACCACTGTACCAACTACGTAAGTGCAGTGGCCCTGTTGAATACTATCCAGGAGTGTTTGAAAGGTCTAAGGAAAATCCTTGGCAATATTGTATAGTTTCTCTTTATGTCAAAGTAATAGCTCTGCTCCTCTTGATTGGTTGTAAATACTGTTAAATCTCCAAATAATGCTGTAATGCTTTCTCAAAATTTGGGACTGAAAATGAGTGAGTGAGTTTGGAAAAACGTAACTTAAGCTCAACCTGATCAGGTGTTCATTGGCAATAATAAAGTACTAATGTATTTCAATTTTAATTATGTACTTGGCTTCATGACTTGAATCAAAATCCTTTTCGTATTTTTTAAAAAAGTAAATGAAAATAGTAGAAATTTTATGCTTGGAGGATTCATTTATTTATTTAAAACTTTTGTAAACGGTTTGAACATCTAAATGCATTGTTTGCTCCTGAGTGAATGCTTGTGTAGAACTAGGTTTTCCCCTTCACACATTCAAGGCAACTTTCTGTTCCTTTTCAAAATTCCTCTGTTCTCCAAAGTGTATCCCATGACCATGATCACCACAGAATGGTTTTTTGAGCATGCATGGAGAAGTTTGTTGAACCCAATCTAGCAATTACTTGTGAGAACTCTCTGTTCTTCTTCATGGTCTCTGTGTAATCACACCTATGGGCTTGATTGGAGTAAACTTCCAAAATTTCCAATGAGTGCAAGGCCTTGATTGGAGTAAACTTCCGAAGCTTGGCGCCATGAAGTGGGTGGGAGCCTGGGCCTCCTGGAGCGAGAAGCCTGCCACTTTTCTCTCCCTCCCACCCTAGTGAAAAGCCCTCTGGGTTTTTTCCTCCTCTCATTTTTTCTTTTTCTCTCTGCCATGTCTGTTCCCTTTTGAACCACATGGCCTACTGCTCTACACCGCTGCGCCTCCTGCATGGCCCAAATGTCCACCAACGATGGGCATTCCAAGTGCCTCCTCTGCCTTGTAGAGGGGCACACTGTAGAGACTGGCCCGCACTGCCAGGTCTTTAAAAAACCTTCGGCAGGCCTTATGGCAGAGGCCCTTACCGCTGTTGACCCTTCCGAGGCCGACAATCCCCCTGCCGAAGGCACTTCCAAGCCCTGCAGGGCTAGGAAGGGAGCAGCCTTGCCGGTCAAGGGCCCCTCTGGGACCGTGACTCCGGCAAGGAGGAAGAAGCACCGTGCCACAAAGGACCCTGCCCACCCCCTCGGCACTGGAGGCCACCCAGGGCCGCCCAGAGACCCTGGACTCTGGGGCATCCCTGAATGCGACACCCATGGTCCCGGTCCTGGATTCTCCGGACGCACACTGCTCGGCAGCGCCTCCTGTGCCCAAGATGCTGCCAGTAGGTGGTCCAACCACCATCCCAGCCATGGAGACCGACATCCACGTGTCCACCCACTCGAGGACCAGCAATTGTTCTTGGGACAGAGCTGGCAGACATACTGCACCCCTCCCTCTGGACTCAGGGGGGATAGTTGTTGCTCTCCATGGCCTCCTCGCGCTCTAGCTTGCCTCCCTCCACTCCGTGTGGAAGGAAGCCCTGCCTGGCTGAATTTGACTCCGGGTCCTGGATACCCACACTCGCCGTGCCTGTCTGAGGCTCCCAGCTTCCAAATGAAGGCTCCACCACAGACGCCGCACCCAGAGCCCTGCCTCCTCATTCTCCAATGACTCCACTCCTTACAAGCATCGCCGGCACCACTGCTGCTCTCCTGCCTCCCTGCCCGAGCCCAGGGTGCACGCACAAAACCGCGGGAGCCAGTGAAAACACGCCGGGACCATGTGGTGCATTGAAGAGTCCAGCAAGAAACGGAGCACTCAGCTGGGAACGCCACGCTGCAGTTCCTTGCCACCACCAGGACTCCCCCAGCAGGAAATCAAGCTGCGCCGCCGGGCCCAGGGGCCGGCCCCACAGTCATCCACGCCGCTGGCCCAGTGAGGACTCATCAGCAAGTGACATAGCCTGCATCAGCTCTGCCCGCCAGTGCTGCCGCTCCCACAGCCCTGCTGCAGCTCACCGCAAACGCTCACCTGCTCCACACCAGGATCATCAAAGCAGGAGCAGCTGCCACCAGCGTTCGCCTTCACAGGACTCAGGTCAGAGCTGATCTCTGCCTTCAGGACATTTTCATTCCCTGTGGCCTCCATTCGCTCCCCAGATGGCCAGACCCTAGACCAGGACCTCTCTTTCTCTCCTGCTAAAGGGGGTGGCTTCTCTGACCTGGTGCTCCACATGGCTGAGGATCTCGGCTTCTACACCTCCCACCCAC